TTGTTCATTTGTTCATTTGTTCATTTGTTCATTTGTTCATTTGTTCATTTGTTCATTTGTTCATTTGTTCATTTGTTCATTTGTTCATTTGTTCATTTGTTCATTTGTTCATTTGTTCATTTGTTCATTTGTTCATTTGTTCATTTGTTCATTTGTTCATTTGTTCATTTGTTCATTTGTTCATTTGTTCATTTGTTCATTTGTTCATTTGTTCATTTGTTCATTTGTTCATTTGTTCATTTTAATGAGCCATCTTATGTATATGTCAATTACCGGTAAAAGTAGATCATCAGCGCTCCTTGCAATGCCTTGTGAGAAAACCGTCGCTCTCCTGAACGAGGAAATGAGTTCCAGTAAGTATGGATCTTCACCATAAACAGTCATTGATGCAGAAAGGGAATGTGATGAAAGGCCAGAGAATTATGATTGAAAAAAATGGAAAGGAATTAGGAAAAAAAGGAAAAGAAAATGGAAAGGCGCTGAGATAAAAAGAAAATTAAAAAACAAGATAAAGCGTGCGAAAGAAAGAGAAACAAATAAAAATGCAATGGAAAAACAGAAAGAGAATAAAAAAAGATAAAACAACTAGAAAATTCTAAAACATTCAATTTTCTAGCAGCTTTTCTTACCTCGCGTTAGTAATTGACTGTATCTTCCCTCGTCAAAAATAGACTCAAACGTGTCCTTATAAAAACAYATATGCATTGGTTATTACTAACACTTAGTTAGCAAGCACGCAATATTATGYAAAAACTTAAAAACAAAGTTTTACAAAAGTTTATTACCATTGTACATTTGTAATTTCTCATCATTTCTGCTTGAATCGCCTCGTCTGTTTGTGCCTGAGGGCGTTAAAGGATGAATACATTTTCATTGACTTTTTTCGAAAAATACGTGGAAAGATCTTAATTCCAGTGAATACAATTATAGCCCTGGAAATGTAGTACCAGTCATTTAATTCTGGATATAATGATATAGCTGATTTYAAAAAAGGTTGTCGTATAAAATGCATGGCTAATGTCAATAGTCGAACGGCGATTGCACGACCGAAAGTAGTCCTGGGCTTTGATAGTTGAAAGGCAATAACAACTGATTTATACTGYAACATAGTCTGTGGTAAACACTGGATYCTTTAGTCTCSATTTYTATGTAAGKTGAATCCAATAAGTGAAATTTTGTTTATCAAAACAGTGTAACCATAGTCCCTTTCGGTCTTGCAATCTCCCTTCGACAATCGCCGTTCGCCGTTCTCCTCGACAACGTTTTTTGAAATAGCTGTATACAAAGTATACTGGTATCAATAAATATTGTGCAATTACCATATTACAATTTATAGGTAACAATATGATATGGTTAAGCTGTGAACTTACATCGGCGTCTTCTTTAAGGTTTCTCAACCACGCATTCACCCTTGATTTAAACTTTCCCCAAAAGTTAAACCCATCTTCTTCAAGGCCAGGCGTGCGACTTAGCCATCGCTAAGTGCACATAACAGAAGAAGTTGGTAATGACAAATAAAAGAAATGAATGACCAGATCAATAAATAAATAATGGAAATGTATTGGTGTACAACCCATTGAACAAACGAACGAATAAATGAATGGATTTTTGAATAAGCGAATAGATAAATGGGTAGAAGAATGAAGAAGTGACGAAATAAGGAGAATAATTTACACAKAAAGCTTATTTGACACAATGATTGATAAACAACACTTTGATTTACCTGTACGACCTGCTGTAGTGAGAGAATTCCCTCTGATGCTTGTACTTCGTCCCGTTCTTTTCCTTTTTTGATTGCATCGGTTACTTTAAGATTGGCATTTCTAAAGAAAAAAAAGAAAAAAATGTCTTCATGCATCAGCTTTACAGTTACATTGGATCTTTTATATTTATATTAGCTGTACTTTTGTCTCTTTCTTTGCTAAACATTTAAAAAAAATGCGTAATGAAAACAGAGTTCAAACAAAAAAGAAAGAAAAAACAAAAAAAGGAAGAAAGAAATGAAATTATGCTTACTTGCCATCTGAGACGGATATTTTACGGGTGAGACCCTGAAAGGTAAAAGGAATTAGGAAGACATGCATGCAGCCTATACAACAAGACTGTGGTTGATGACTCCACACGTTTCTGCATACAGAACATGAAGGATTGAATTAAAAAAAGAAAGTCAATGACTGGAGGGACAAACGGATGGATGAACAAATGGACGAAAGAACGTAGGAATTGATGCATGAACGGATGAATGATTGAAAGAAAGGAATGGATGAATAAGAGAACTTGTAGTTTATCGAAAGGATGACACAATGAATGTAATTATGGACAAATGAAAAATGAATGAAAATTGAAAAATGAATGAATAATGACAACAGGATGACTGCTGCCTCTACTTACTCTAGAAACACCTAATTTGTTTTCAAGAAGCCTGAATTGTGCACTTTGGAATCCTGACGCAGGAGAGATGTAGTCTCTGCAATACAAAAACTATAGCTCAACCACAARCTTTAAATCAACTAACATACGTTACGAAGATTGTAGTTTTACCTGAATTCCATAAATCCAAATGGYGTCATTGTTTCTAAACACTGAAATTGGTCTTTTAAAAGCTAAAGAAAAAAAATGAATAAATGAAAAATATATGTAAAAACGTCAGTTTATGTGAAAGCTGTATGGATTCGAATGAAGAAAAGAAAGAAATGAATAGAAATGAAAAGAAACAATGACAATGGATTGGGAATCCAAGAAAAAGTCTTACCTTGAATATTGCAACAATGCGTTTGAGTAATGAGATAATATGCAGCGTTTTTTCCTCATTCACTTCCGTCTACAATTGGAAGAACAGTCAATCATTTCAAGTCAGTTGATGACCGGTGAGTGTGGCAGTGCCCCCCAAAAGCCTATAGTCTATCACTATAAACAAGACGTTTGGCGCATGAGATTTCAGAGCAGCGGGGGGAATGTTCTGTCTGGGTATATGAATCATTGCATTTTCGTCACAGTTCCATGAAATGCTGAGATCTGTGATGGAGCTATTAATTATCTGATTGATCTCGACTAACGCCAACTATCCCCCCTATTAATCTGTTAATCTATTAATCTATTAATTAATACTATTTTAATGATATCATCAGGATCGTGATACAACTTGATGAACGATAGGAAGTGGGATGTATAAGTGTTACCTTGCTGAGAAAGATATCCCTTATGGAGTCAATCTCGAAAAGGACTTCTTTAAACCATAATTCGTATGCTGTTAAAAGAAACATTTGAGTATTAATACCTGAGGAAATAAGCAATGATAGTTGTTCCCAATAGAACTAGTACTACTATCTCAGAGCAGATTATCTCAGAAATATATGCCAGAAGAAATAAAGCATTGAGCCATGTGGGATAGGATCAAGAATCACGTCCGAGCATGCGTATAATTGAATGGACAGTTTTATCACTACCTTGATGTGTAACGATAAACAAAAGTTCATCTGGAGCTCGTCTGCCTGTTCTTACTTCACTCTGTGGTACTTGACAACTTAGCAAATCATCAAGCTATGCGGAAAAAAGAACAAAAATCAACAGACTGCAGGAAATKGCAGAGCGTGGAGCCTTGAACAAGCAGCAATGCCATTTTCTTAAGGCATGATGGGAAATATATTCCTATAATTCTCATTACCGCTAAATTTTCCACAGTAATCCCCAGATTTAGTTTGAGTTTGCTAGTAGTTTAGTCGTTTTTATTCAAAACATTTGCGAGGACTACTTGAGTCTCATCACGTCGTCACGGTAGATCCAGTTATCAAATCTAGCAGACATTCTTCCGGATCGTTATCAATCAGTCATTTCATAGTTTGTAGAGGGAAATGGTTAGGAAGCCTTTTGTTGTAGGTTTTGTGCACTTTTTTCCAAGCCATGGTGACCGTGCACAATCTTTTATTCAACTGATTGTTTTAGCCATACTGGTCACATCTGAATGAACAGAGCGAAAAATATTCTTTTGCCTATTTCTTCAAAATGCATAATGATTTCTAACCAATATTGGAATATTTCATTTTATAATCTCATATAGGGTGTTTATGTTTAGTCATTTTGCAATTTCCATCGTCCGTAAGAAAAAAGTTGTGCACGGTCTTGACTGATTCAACCTCAAAATACGTACAAAAGAAGTACAATAAAAGGTTTCCAAACCATTCCCTTTATTTTAACTATGGTCATTTTTACGTTTCAGAAGACAATAAGACAATAAATGATTGAATTATTGATATAGATATCATTTATTAATGCATTTGTTATTGGATAAGTGGTCCTGTCTTGACGTCACGCGTGCAAAAAAATAAAATAAAAATAAAAACTATGTTACAGTATAATTTAAGAATGCCCTTTTACACACTTTATAAATAAATGGTTTAATATATTATCGGAACCCTTGTCTAAGTTCTAATTTTGTTAATGGCTTTTCATTATGTTTATTTTTGACAATAGCAGGGAGAGGAGAAAGAGGAACAATTCTATTTTCGAGCTGTAAGAAATCATTGCGATCAATGTCATCAAAAGATTCACTATCTAGTAGTTCCATTGGTTCCTGGTCRRGTCCTTGACTGACCAAGTACCGTGGAGAAAGAAGTTCGTAGTTGTCAGCAAACAAATCAAACGGTTTGCTTTCTTGTTTTATTTTATTTTCATGTACACTAAGGTTTGTTTCTCGTCTTACTTCACTGTCATCCTTGTAATCCTTGAGTTTACGCCGATTCAAGCGCAGCATTCTTGCGGTTCTAATGATAGAGAATTTACTCTGTGAGTCGAGAACAGGCATGCAGTACTGAAGACTTTGTTTATCTGGCTTAGACGATAAATAAGAGCTACTCAGACTTGTTTTTCCGTCAAGTTTTGGAAATGTAAGGTCATTTCTCTCTTGTATGCCGAGTTGTTGGTTGGATCCAAGAGTTGATAGCTCGTGCTTGACCAAAGAAGGCAATTTTAGCTTTTGTTCAACTTTGCTCTGTGAAACCTCGACCTTTTTCCCCCTTCCATTGCTGAAAATTAATTCATTGTTTTCACGTAAATCTGCGAACTTTACATTTCTTTCAGAGTTTTTCTTGTTGTTTTTAACCATACCTTGCACACTTTGTTCAGCATCATTTTCAACATACGTAAAGCTACTAGGTACTTTATCAAGATGTAGAGTTGAATCTTTGCTATTTTGCTGTAATTTTCTAATTCTTTGTACATTCTCGTGACATTTTTGTCGCTTTATTTCCTGTTGGTATTGTCTTGCGCTATGTAACCCACCGATAGACTGTCTTTTCTCTATGTCAAGTTCTTTCATAAGTGACTTCAGGGATTTTTGTACTTGAATGTTTTGAAGTAATTCAACTTCTTTCAACATTTCCATTTGCTTTAAGCAAGTTTRAGGATTTTTTGGCCAGTTTTTCGGTATTCGGAATTTCTTTGARCGMACCAGGTAACCCACAAGACTAAKTTTCGAAGGAGYATCATCATCCTCGCTCGCCATTCCTTCACAGACCGATATTTGCATTCAAAACAGTACTAMGACTATGCACAAGACAGCTAAAATACCTAATTCAACTGTTAAAGCCAAAAGTGTTTGAGATTGCTGTCGTGGTGTAAAGCCAAACTGATTGCAACATCACTACTACTTATAAGATTACAAAGTTAACTATAACTCATGCAGTTACTACAAACATTAATTATCCCTAGTGACCAGACATTGAATACCTCCAAGGTATAATGTGATAGGTTAACACAATCTATGCACTTTGTCGTGTAAACAAAACATAGATTAGTGGATTATCAACCAAGCATTTTCAACAAACACCTTTCAATAAAGAATGTTATCATTTTGATGCCCGCTTAACATTATACTTCACACTTTATTAGCTAGCGATCGAGTCTTTTCTTTCTCTTCCTGCATMGTCTTGCGGTAGATATCAAAGTCTTGAATCACTTCTCATGTAGAGTTTTTGTTTTCCATGATTCTGAATTTATGTAACATCTTCGCCAGCATGAATAAAATTTCATTTTTTTTCCCTCGAAATCGTCTTTGATTTGTATAGTTTTTTACCTTACTTTACCATATAAAGCAATTGAAGTGTGTTTTTCAACGTAGTTTATAATGTGGTATCATGCCATGTGGGATTGGATGAGATAWATRAGACCCTGCGCAATGACTGATATATTAGCGTGCGTGCAGCGGAACGCCTGCACAACGCCTGCACGCAGGCTACTRATATATGTGTAACAAGTTAAGTAAGTGGATAAAAACCTAAACAAAACTAACAAATGGTTTTGCACTAGTGKTATAGAGCTATAGACTGATAGATCGACCCTATCTAAAGAGCCGCATCTCTGTGTGCGTACGACTGACACTTCCTCTTCCTAAGGCAACAATATCAGCCTGAAAAATTGAAACAGGGGCACCCACATGCAACACGGACGRTGGTAGACCGCAAAGGAGTTTGTTAATAAAAGCTGTTAACATGGTACTATTTTTATCAAGTGTTTTACTTTGTCTGTATTGCTTACCTTGAGATAATCAGAATAGTTCATTCGCTCTTCTTCCTCCGTGCTTTCGACTGTGTCATCTACACTATTGAATTATAAAAAAGGTTTTCTTTATTAAAATTTGAGTCCGACTTGTGAGATCTATTTAGTTAATCAAATCAACGAGTTTTTAAACTCAAATTAAAATTTGAGTTTCCCTTAGAGCTGTTGGAGCGTTTTTTATGATGTAAATTTATCGGAAAAGTTGCTAATCCAAAAAAACTACATTTRTCATTAATAGTAACAAAATGAAGAACAACATTGCCATAAACGAAGCTGCCACTTAACTGCGCATCKGCACAGTTACATGTTTGAATATTCAAATCATGGTAAAAGTGTTAAGTATACAATACTAATAAAACAAATTAAACAGTTTATGTATACAAAACTATGAGAAAAGCTGCCTTGTGTAGTTTAAAGACTTGTTCAGTACCTTGTTTTAGCAAAAGGACAGCTCATGTTAGAGACGTTTTCTGGCGTTCTTTATTCGTGTGGTTCAATACTACAACTTGTAAGCCCCAGCTATTGTTGAAAATCCACTCAGCTAAATCAGCTAAATCTCCTGTTAACGATTTGCACATTTAGATAAGAATTATTCATTATGCACCTTAAGACTCTAAAGATCAGGCAATATCAGCAAAGTGATGAATCACTTTTAATTTTGGCAACAACGACTTTTTGCAACTATGTTATTGCACAATATTGTTCGACTAGCAATGCGGCAATCACGGAAAGTCTTAGCTCCGTCTTTAGCACAAGCATAATTACTACACTATGTTACGGGTATGAAGTATTGTAGCTTGCATCGCTAAGTACACTTCATGAACTCTCAAGAACAAAAGCCAACCTGACCCAAATCATTGTTAACGTTTCTCCTCTCACACAAGTTGTCATGATTCTATTTCGTCATCAGTCTACGTCACTAGGGGATGAGAGTGATAATTACATAGAGTCCCAATCAAACTGCAGTTTACAGGTGAGCGTCGTTCAGTTTTAGAAATTAATTT